GCTTTATGGCAATGGCTTGTAATATGGGTGGGCTCCAGCAGCAGGGCGGGACGGACGTGGCCGTGGACTTGTACCTGGCCGTCCGGCTGCTCCTCACCGTCCTGGCCCTCACCCTACTCTCCATCTTCGTGAGGCCGCGGGGAGCCGAGGGGGGGCGGCCCCGGGAGCCGGCGGCAGCCGAAGCGGCCCGGGAGAGCGGCCCCGGGGACCAAGAGGCGGTGGGAGCGGGGCCGGAGGCCGCGAGGGGACGGCTGCCGGTGGAGGAGGTCGGGGCGGTCGAGGAGCGGAAGGAAGGGGCTGCCGAGCAGCGGGAGAAGGCGGCGGAGGAGCCGAGCCCCGCGGCCGAGCCGAGCCCCGCGACGGCCGAGAGCGTTTCCCGGAAGCCGCCCGCCGAGCCCCAGGAGGATGCAGGAGAGCATGCAGCATTTCCCAGCAAGGCAGAGGGGGAAGAGCTGGACTCAGGAAAAGAGGAGCTGGTGGTGGGAGAGCCGGCAAGCACAGCGGCTACACCAGCCCCAGTGACAAGTACAGCAGCATCAACTGAGAGTTCTGGAGGTTTTGAATGGCCTTTGGGTATCCTTGGGACCTGCCTGCTGATTGTGATGGGGATCAGCATGTTGGCACACACACAGGCTGTGTTCTACCCACAACCATTTTGTCTGATCTCAAAAGTTAAGCAGTGTCAGGTTTGGGTCTTGTCTGGGGTTAGACGACAATACAGGGGGACCAAGAGGTTTTCCCCAAGGCTGGACAGCCAGGAGTGTCAGGGTGTGTGTGACAGTATGGGCAAGTATCTAGTCCACTGGGCCCCTCCAGTGCTTTGGAAGCATCGGAGATGGAAGGCAGCTGTATGGAGTCCCCAGCAACAAGCTGCAGAAACTGCTGAAGGGGACAGTGAATTATTTTAAGCCTGGTGGGCCCATGGCACTTCAGGCCATCAGAGCAGAGATGCAACACAGAGATGACTCATGATCGAGGGGTGGACTTAGCAATGGACACTATTGCCCACGTTATTCACGAGTGTGAACACTGCACACAGCCTCTCCTGCTCTGGAAGACTGTTACAAGAGATGGAGCCTGACATCATGGACCAGATGGACTCAGCAGCTTTATAGGGACTGGTCCATGCACTAAGATAAGAGTGCACTGAAATAAGAGTGATGGTATATTGAAAATGTGGGATCTGAGCATGACGTGAATGGTATGGAATAAGGGGTGGATAATGTCATGGGTTCAGCAGTAGCAGTCATTTTTCCCCTTCTTGGTAGCTGGTGCAGTGCAATGTTTTGACTTTCAGCTCGGGAACAGAGCTGATAACAATGATGTTTTGGTTTGGCCAAGGACTTTGTGAGCCTCATGCTCTGCCAGGGAGGAGGGGAAGCCAGGAGGAAGCAGAGACAGGACACCTGACCCAAACTGACCAAAGAGGTATTCCATACCACAGCACGTCATGCCCAGGATGGAACTGGGAGTTAGCCGGAAGGGCTGGGAGACCGGAGGGTTGGAGGAGGTATCGGTCGGAGCTTGGTCGGGCTGGGGGGGGCAAGTTATCGGTCGGCTGGTGGTGAGATGATGTATTCTCTTCCCTTGTTATTTCCTTTATCATTATTATCACTGGTGGTAGCAGTAGTGATTTGTGTTATACCTTAGTTACTAAACTGTTCTTATCTCAACCCGTGGGAGTTGCATTCTTTTCGATTCTCCTCTCCGTCCCTCCGAGAGCAGGGGGAGGGCAAGAAAAGGGGGGGAAGTGAGCGAACGAATTACCTGACTGGGTTTAAACCGCGACACTATGCTGCTGACTCCTAGTTCTGCATAGACTCTCACGTCATTAAGATTCCTGTAGCCCTTGCACTCTTCTTTTTTTGTATATGTATTTTGTACCTTTCAGTGACTTGTATTTCACCATATAGAAGCTTTATCATATACTTTCATTGAATAGCATTCTGTTCAAGACTTGAAGTGCCTTTCTCAGATATAATTACTTATATACCAGTTTTCTAGATGGCACGGGGGACAGGGACGGGACTATTTGTTCCATTATAATTTGGTTTATTTGCTAGATCTAGTAAATGCATCATAAATTTATAATTTTATTGGATAGGAAAATGATTAGCAACGGTACTAAAACTAATGCATTTTGACATGTATCAGCACTTACAAAAACATTGTTATTGAGCCTCAATTGTGTTCATTAAAAAAGGAATAGGAACAACTTCTAGTTCTGATAATATCCCATTATATTTATAGTCAGAGTACTTGTGATTCTCTGTAGCCATGCTTAATGTGGTAGGCATAAGAATGCAGGTGATTCTGGCACCTCATCAGGGGAAGCAAGGTGCTATGTAGTTACATGTACTTATGTACACTTATGTGCTCATAGGATGAAAAACATCTCTGAGTTTTGCACAGTACTATTCTGAAATGTCCATTTGCATAACCTCATGATGCCTTTCTGGACATAGTCTTTCATTTCCCTTGTCTTCAGCTAAGCAATACTTCTTATCTCGTTTCTCACTGCCTGCAGCGTCTTCAGACTGGAAAATCTATGAAAACTTGTTCTCCTTTTCCTGTTTTTAGTGACCACCTGAGGCAATGGTGTGCTATTGAAGAACACTTAAAGCCATTTATTCATTCATTCATTCATTCATTCATTCATTCATTCATTCATTCATTCATTCATTCATTCATGTTTTCAGTGATTGTATGAAAATAAAAGATGGTTCTGAGCTAGCTAAATCCTTTCAAATAGAACATGCAGCTTTTTAAGATTGCTTCAAATCTTTCATTAGCTTAGGTTAACCAAAAGTTAGCTTTGGAGTGTCTAGTTTAGGAAATACCACTGAACTACTGTGAAAGCATTCAGACATAAAATGGGAGAACTGGCCTGTTGGGCCTCCTATAAAGTAATAAACATTGTAAACTGGTTGGAAGCAATGGTAGCTATAGATGATAGACCTGCTCAGCTCAGTGACTGAACTCAGAAGGGCAAGAGAAAGAGGATGTTTACCCTTGATTTTTTATGCTACTCTTCACCATAGGTTGCTATGAGAAAATATACTTCCCAAAGGGAAGAAAAATAGTCAGCCCTTCCTAAAAAACATATTAGAAAAGTATGAGGAACATCTATAAATTTTGATCAATAATCTTGCCAAGGACAGAAAAGATGCTTGCATTAATAGAATCATAGAATCATAGAATAGTTAGGGTTGGAAAGGATCATCTAGTTCCAACCCCCCGTGGGCAGGGACACCTTACGCTAAATCATATCACCCAAGGCCTCGTCCAACCTGGTCTTGAACACTGCCAGGGAGGGAGCATTCACAACCTCCCTGGAAATAGGGCAGGAAGAAGAATAACATTAAAAAAAAAAAAAATCAGCAAGACAGATTTGTTACCAAATCCTGATTCTGAAAGTTGAAGAAAAGTGCAATAACCTAAGCAAAGACATGCTTTAAGTACTGTCTAAGCTTAGTGGGCCATGCTTTAGTTCAGACTGTGTTGATCGACCGTGATACCTAGATTAGCAATTTTTATAATTTTTATGGCACACAGAAAGGAATGATTTCAATCAATACAGTGAAAGACATCAGAGAAGCTTTTAGACTCTAGGGTCCTTTTATGATTTCTGAGGGCTTTCTGAGCCAAAAACCTGTATGTTTTTGAAAAAAAATATCTGTTGGTATAATAAAAGATGTTATCTTTTAATGAAGGATATGCTTACTGGGAATATCAAACCGACATGGCTAAAATCCTTCTGCTATAACTTGACTATGAAGGTACTCTTGAAAATATAGTAGCTTCATCAGTCTCAGTGGTTCACTGTAAGGTAGTATTTTAAATGTCCTATTTTTATGCTTAAACAGTGGATTAAATATTTCTCCATTAATGCTTACCATGAATTGATTGTTCTTTTACTTTGATGCTATTTTATGTTAGAAAAAAAAATCAGGCTTCCTGCCAAGAAAGCTTGGAAACTAAATTATTCTAATTCTCTTATTTTGCAATCATAGAATCATAGAATAGTTAGGGTTGGAAAGGACCTTAAGATCATCTAGTTCCAACCCCCCTGCCATGGGCAGGGACACCACACACTAAACCGTGCCACCCAAGGCTCTGTCCAACCTGGCCTTGAACACAGTCAGGGATGGATCATTTACCACTTCTTTAGGCAACCCATTCCAGTGCCTCACCACCCTCACAGTAAAGACCTTCTTCCTTATATCTAACCTGAACTTCCCCCATTTTAAGTTTCAACCCTTTACCCCTTGTCCTATCACTACAGTCCCTAACGAATATTCCCTCCACAGCATCTTTATCGGCCTCCTTCAGATACTGGAAGGCTGCTATGAGGTCTCCACACAGCCTTCTCTTCTCCAGACTGAACAGCCCCAACTTTCTCAGCCTGTCTTCATATGGGAGGTGCTCCAGCCCTCTGATCATCTTCATGGCCCTCCTCTGGACTTGTTCCAACAGGTGGTCATTAAGAACAGGAAAAGGAGAACAAGTTTTCATAGATTCCCCTAGATTTTCCATAATTTCTCTTTGACCAACCCCCCCAAGTCCTTCTCTGCAGGGCTGCTCTGAATCTCTTCTCTGCCCAGCCTGTAGCTGTGCCTGGGATTGCTCCGACCCAAGTGTAGGACCTTGCACTTGGCATGGTTAAAGTTCATGAGGTTAGTATCTGCCCACCTCACAAGTGTGTCAAGGTCCCTCTGGATGGCATTCCTTCCCTCCAGTGTATCAACCGAACCACAAAGCTTGGTGTCGTCAGCAAACTCAATCCCACTGTCCATGTCAGCAACAAAGATGTTGAACAAGATCGGTCCCAACACATCCCTGAGAGACACCACTTGTTACTGGTCTCCAGCTGGACATTGAGCCATTGACTACAACTCTTTTCATGTGGCCATCCAACCAGTTCTTTATCCACTGGGTGGTCCATCTATCAAAGTGATGTCTCTCCAATTTAGAGACAAGGATGTTGTGCAGAACAGTGTCAAATGCTTTCACACATAACTTTTCATCCCAACTGCAGCACGTCAGTACTGCTCTGATCGCTCTCAAAGTGATTGCGGGACAGTGAAAAGGCCATTGAGATGGTCCTGGCCCTGTGGAATTGGCCAGCCAGTGCAGCAGTGAACCAGTTTATTGTCTATTTAAGCCCAAGATTGTATTTCAGTCATCTCAAGAGGTAAAGTTAGGATTGCCTCATGTTCCCCATGAAGCTGCAGCCCCTTCAGGGCTCGTCCTCATCCCCTGCTGCACAGCTGTTGTGGAAGTCTGCTGTCATGGAGTTGTGATGTCGCAGCCCATGTTCCACCGGCAACTGCCCGTTACCAGTGAGACACACAACAGAGAGACCTTCGTACCTGCCCCTGCTCTTGTCCTGTCCTCCCTCTGACCCTTCCAGGACCCTTTCTGCCCTGCTCTCAGCCCTTCTAGCCTACTGCCTTCCTAGTCTCCTGTTCACTGATCCACGGTCCTATCCTGGTACCCCCCATGCAGCCCCCTAGGAAGACCACCCTTGTCCTGCTGGCAGCCCAGCCCAGCCCTTGCGGGAGCGAGGAGACCGAGACCTGCATCCGCAGATTATGGAGCCCGTGGGTGCCGAGGCAGGCTCAAGGCCAGGTCTGTGCCTGGCTCCCGCAGGCAGGGAGCACGGTCGCTCACCCCTGTCCTCTCTGCTGCACAGGTCCTCAAGCCCTTACCACCCCGCAAGGTGCTTAAGTGCAGCAGGCGCAGGCTCCTCCAGCTGCAAGTGCCGGCCCGTCAGAGCTGGTGGGTGCTGCTGGACAAGGAGCTCCCGGCCTCCTGCCAGCTCCTGCTGGGGTCTTGCCCGGGGCCCCAGTGCCCACGGCTCTGTCTGGGCAGCGAGAGGGGGCCGGGTGCCCAGACCCTCATCCCACAGCTCTGCTCCGCTGCCCAGGGCAGCACCAGTGCACTCTTCTGCTTGCCTTTTGCCTTAGGCTGTTCCAACACATGTGAGAGCTGGAGGAGGAGGCTGCCAGCAGGACCCAAGGGGGGCTGCAGCAGCAGGAAGACATGGAAGTTAAGGTGGAGATGGAGGTGGGTGAGGCAATGGAGGTCGATGAGCAGTTGGAGGAGATGGAGGAAATGGAGGTGGACTGAGGAGTGGTAAGGCAGCACGTGCCCCCCATCCACTGCCAGCAGTGAGGTTGGTTCTGCTGCTGCCGTGCTGGGGCTGGGGCTGTGTGCGACAGCCCCTCTGCAGGGACACGGTGCCGGTGGTCTCATCCTGGCAGCACGAGTGCCACCACCGCGCTGCCCTGTGCTGCCTTGGGGTCACGTAAGCCAAGTCTGATCACACGGAGCCCGGCTCCCAGCCCCAGCCAGGACTGAGCCCCGCGGCAGAATCCCGCTTTCCCCAGCGTGTCCCAGGGCTGTGGCAAACACAGTGACCCATCAGGAGCCTCACTGAAATGACCTGGTGCTGCTTGTTTCCAGGGATGACCCAGGTGGAGGTTTTGCGGTGTTGGAAGATTTTGAGAGAAGAGTTGTTGTTTTCGCAGAAGATTGTTGTTTTTCACAGAAGATTTTTGTTTTTTCATAGAATAGTTGTAGTTTTCAGTAGAAGTGTTGTAGTTTTACATAGAATAGTTGTAGTTTTAAGTAGAAGAGTTGTGATTTGTTGTGTTGTTTGTTTTGTCGGGTTGCTTGTTGTTCTGAAAATACATTTCTCTATGCTTTCCTGATCCAGTCTCTCTTTGTATTTGCTGTGAGCACACGCAGCGCTGGCAGACAAGTGGTTTCCACTTGCTCCAGGTTTCCAGGGCTGGAGTGGTCAGGGGGTGCTGGCGCTGGGTGCTGGGGTCCCCCATCTGTCCTCTCATGGGCTCCCTGGCCTGGCAGAGCAGCTCTTTTGGGCTCCCTGCAGCTTTGGGCAGGGCTGGGCACAGGCGAGGGACCAAAGGTGTGTGTGGTAACACTGACCCCTCGGCGGCTGCAGGGCCCCTGCCTGGCTGCTGCCATTGGGCACAGCCTGCACCAACGCTGACCAAGGCTACTTGGGCTGCTCCTCAAACTGGGGGAAACGCGTCTGCGTCTACAATCATAGAATCATAGAATAGTTAGGGTTGGAAAGGACCTTAAGATCATCTAGTTCCAACCCCCCTGCCATGGGCAGGGACACCACACACTAAACCGTGCCACCCAAGGCTCTGTCCAACCTGGCCTTGAACACCACCAGGGATGGAGCATTTACCACTTCTTTGGGTAACCCATTCCAGTGCCTCACCAACCATACAGTAAAGACCTTCTTCCTTATGTCTAACCTGAACTTCCACTGCTTAAGTTGCAACCCTTTATCCGTTGCCCTATCACTACAGTCCCTAACAAATATTCCCTCCACAGCATCTTTATAGGCCCCTTCAGATACTGAAGCTCTTCTCCAGGCTGAACAACCCCAACTTCCTCAGCCTGTCTTCATACGGGAGGTGCTCCAGTCCCCTGATCATCCTTGTGGCCCTCCTCTGGACTTGTTCCAACAGTTCCATGTCCCTTTTATGTTGAGGACACCAGAACTGCACACAATACTCCAATTGAGGTCTCACGAGAGCAGAGCAGAGGGGCAGGATCACCTCCTTCGACCTGCTGGTCACGCTCCTTTTGATGCAGCCCAGGATACGGTTGGCTTTCTGTGCTGTGAGCACACACTGAAGCTGGCTCATGTTCATTTTGTCATGAAACAGCACCCCTAAGTCCTTCTCCACAGGGCTGCTCTGAATCTCTTCTCTGCCCAACCTGTAGCTGTGCCTGGGATTGCTCTGACCCAGGTGTAGGACCTTGCACTTGCCATGGTTAAACTTCATGAAGCTGGCATCTGCTAACCTCAATTTATGACAAATCATATGAAATGGCTTGCAAAAGCAGGGGGTTAGATTGAATGGGTGGAGAGATTTCTTTGAATTCTTCATCCCTAAACTAAAAAATAACAATTTGAAAGCTGTATATAAACTAAGTAAGCGGGGAAAGTGGTTTTGAAGAACAGCAACAACAAATTGCATAGCAAGTATTTCATTCAGATGTGCACCATGGTATAAACCCACCTCCTCATCTCCTGGACCAGGGATAACAGGACCTCTATGTGTAATTGTTTTGTGAATGTCTATAGCATTTCCTGATGGTTTTTTTTTTTTTTCATTTACTTGTCTGTTGTGGTACTGCAGGTTAATACGAGAGGCATTGATAATCTGCATATATTGTAGAATAAGGTACTCCAACTCTAAAAGGGACGAAAGAACTGTATTAATCACAGAGTTCTATTTTTCTGACAATAAAAGCTCAGCAAAGACCCTGCAAACTGGCAAAATGTGCTATGGCTATTGAAAAGGTGCTTCTAAACTTCCGAGGAGAAGCTAGGATATTGTGTTAATTTAAACCCCCTTCCCTGCATTTTCTATAAGGTCTGAGAACCAGTCTAGGAACCCACAGTGTACTTAAAAACAGGTATTTAATGTTCAGGTACTGAGTTGTGATACCCTGTACCTGTATGCCCCAGTACCTCTTAAATCCAGGACAGGGAACAGAGAAATACAGGAAGGGAAAGACAGGGATTAGCAAAGCATATGTACCCTACAGACCCTGCAGTTTTGGCAGCCGTGCACTGGCAGAAGCCCTATTTGTAAGATTTTCACAGGCATGTCTTGCGCTCTGTATCACAATCTTATATTAGTATAAGTATTATAATTTTGTCCTTATCAAGAGTGTACACAGTCATGAAGTTCGTAGTTCTCTGGTCAATGGAGTCCAACAGAAGTTGAGTGGTTTTGTATTCAACACTGAATATACATTGTTATATCAGCATTTCTGAAGGTCATAAATAATGGTGCAGGTATTTCACATGCTGCGTATACACCTGATATTGTGGGAACACAGCACAGACTTTGTAAGTTTAGAAATACAAGCTAGCTTTCTTTTTTTTTTTTTCATTAACTCACGAAAACCATGAGTTACCAAATATAGATGGTAACTGAGGCATGGCAAGTCATCTCTAGTTTCTGTAGAATGGCATAAGGTAGAAGAATTTAAAGCTCATAATTTCCCCGTATATCTATTTCAGTGCAGCACATAAGGCCTAAAACGGTGTGTTGCTAATGACTAACACACGTTAATAGCTATTTGTATACCTCAAGGTGGTTGAAGGGCATGCAATTCAGTTGCTGTAATAGCAAAAGTAAGTCATTAACTCATGGAAAGATCTCAGTGAACTTGGAGAGTAAAGAAATAACCACAGAAGTAATTTTGCAGGGCAAAAGTAGACATATTTGGTTTTAATAGGTTTTGTTAATTAAAAAGGTAGGCAATTTTACTATATAATTATAATCCCAAATTTTCACAGAAACTTCCCAAATCTCTGAAGCTCCTGAAAAGACTTGTTTTCACTGATGTAAAAGGAACAGTCTGTGATAGAGGTCTGAACAACCATTCTTGAAGAACAAGAAACAGGAACAAACTGGTTATTATTAGAAAGCTCTACCATACTGCAGAGCTTTGTTTTCCCATGATGTAATAATCTATAGTGTGGGAAAAAAAACCTTGAGATACATAATTTTTCTCTAATTCTATCAATACTTATAGCCAACCACTTCTTCACATACTCTGCTGCTCTACAGTCAGTCAGAGACTTCTGGGCAAAATACTATTTTCTTCCCAGTTGCCTTTCACAAGAGGTCAAAAGGCTCTTACCCTCCAGAAAGATGCTGGCGTGATGTTAATAAAGCTATAAACTGAGGCCCAAAGATCTCATTAAAAAATAAAATAAAATTTATCAAACATTACAAGGAAAAGTCGTCACATAAATATATAATTATGTTCTTTGTTTGTATTATATTAATGACCCCAAGAAGTATCAAAGCCCCATTTTGACTAAATGCTATGCAAACTTACAGAAACAGCCTGTGACACAGACAGTTGTACAGTAATTATAGCAGCAAGTCCCGTACTGAGGAGAGTAACAGTGGGAGTGGAGACAAGTAGTTAAAATAGATAATGGTATGTGTACTAGGAGCCTACAGGGTAAATCTTTGTAAACACAGCAAAAACTAGTTCAAAAAAGTACTGCTGATATATATGCAAAAAGAAGAATATTCTGTTTGTCAAGCATCAGCCCTTCCCTCTAGCACGTCCTGTTCCCCTTATCCTTTCTGTGAGCAGCACACTGGCTATATGGCCTGCAGTCCTGATATCTAATGTCAGCATCTCTCCAGACCTGACTCACTGCACTGCTACAATTTTTAGATTTCTTTAATGTGCTTAACTTATAATGAGAACATACAGCCTCCTATAAAAATTCAGTCTCCATGTTTCTTCAAAGCTGAACATTACAGCGGTTCTTCTGTATCACTTTCAAGGCACATTTTACAAAGTTATCCGTATTGCAATTATTTTTATGTGTTCTGCTGTGTACTTTACACAGAGATGTTCTTGTTTAATTGAATGTTTCTTTTAGAAGGTTAATTAAACCGGTAGAAATACTTTTTTTTTTTTTTTTTGAGTACATAAGGCTTATTTTAGTTTGGTTTGGGTAAATTAAGAGGTAATTTGAGCTAAATGAAGCAAAACAAAAGAAGAAAGAAATGAAAGCAAAGCCTAGTCTATATGCTAAATTTCTGTCAGCATAACTAAGGAAATTAGGCATATTAAAAGTCACAGCATTAAGCAACATGGCTATCCTGGCTGAAACATTGTTGCATAGATTTACCAACAGTGTTCTTTACTGCATAGTCTGACAAATTGCGAAGTTGTTATAAATGAAAGTAATTTCCAAAGTGGAAATTGGAGTAAGTGGAAATTGGAGTAAATGGAAATTGGCATAAATGGAAAGCTCTGCAGGTTTGCTGGTACTTGTCTTCAGTATGGACAGGCTATCAGATTCTGTCTTGTATAATTAAGTGCCTAACGATGGATTCAAACAAATGTGAGAGCATGAACAGGCATTCCAAAATCTTGCTGTTTTTGTGATGGCAACCACATTCAGTCCTCTCTTTCTTAGGAAGGTTACTGGCCTCCCATTCAGCAACAGCTTCATGAGCTGGATTATAGTCCTTTATAGCCAGGATTTAGTGAGCAAGAAGTCTCAAAAAGTTCCCCTGATGATACTCACCATTGCAGAATGTTGTATAAACCAGAGGAATAAAGAGCTTTGAGAAGTGGTTATTATGGCAGATGGTTTAATATTAAACAACAGGAATTAGTTACAGTAACCAGTGCAGGAAGCCTGAGAAGCACAGGCATCTTGAAACACTGAGGTTTCTAGCTGAGGCTGTCCCAGAAACAGTCTCTCCAGGCATGCTGTTTCTCATATGTCAGTAGCCCGTGCTAAAGAGAGTTTGCTACAGTGGTATGTGATCAATGCAAGTACCATTGTTCTTACGCCAAATAAGACATTTTCAAACCCAGTCTGGACCGCAGTAGTGTAGAAAGTGCTCATGTAACAACTCCACCAGCAGACTGTGGGTGAGCAGGGGACAGGTGACAAATCAGCCAGAGGTGAAGGGGCAGGCACTTAATACTGCAGATGGCAGAACACATCTCCCGCTGTCCCCTCAATAATCTGAAGATTGCTTGCATTTAAATAAAGACAGAACTTTGCAGGTCTTTAGAAGATGTATTCATCTACGAGTGCTTCAAGTCCATTTCCACATCATGATTTCCAAATAAGTATTTCCTCTGCTCCATATAGCTTCTGTCATTC